TGGCATCCCAAAGAAGAGGGTGAGGTTCTGCAGGTCAGCTTCACACTTTAACCAAGGAAAGCGGGAGATCTGGTAGCATACGGTATGGCTACATTTGTCTCTAGTGACAGATCGTTCTTCATTTCCCCACAACTGGACAAGGTAGAGACTCTCTCTCTCTCTCTCTCTCTCTCTCTCTCTCTCTCTCTCTGTGTGTGTGTGTGTGTGTGTGTGTGTGTGTTAGTCAGTTTCTGAAAAAGAACATTAGAAGTAAGGTGGACCAAATGCGGTTCCTGGTGGTTGTAGCGGTAGTTTCCACTAGTAGAAGCAGCAGTGATAATAATACCTGTTCCATAAGGAGGTTGGAGTTCTTTTTTTTTTTTATTTAACTTTGTCTGTATGACTTGACTATCAAGCAGGCTTGCAGTCTCATGTCCCAGTGCCTATTGAGCTTTTGACTGTGCTATAAATGCTAATATCATGCAGGAAAGACAAAGTCATAAGCAAGGCGTTGTCCTAACAAGATGAGACCAGAAGCAGAAGTCTTTTCTCTGTCGCCTCCTAATAATTGTTGTTTTACTTCTAGAACCAAAAGCAAAAGTCTTTGTCTCTGTCGTCTCCTAATAATTGTTGTTTTACTTCTAGAACCCTACCCACTGATCGCCATCTATCCCTAGTACCAGTCACAGCTGTTCTAGCATCTTGGCCATGTTAATGGCTATAGGCTCTGATCAAGGAAGCCTCTGTTTGTGGGTTGAAGTTAAGGGGTGGATTCTGGGAGGAGGGGAAGACTGCAGTGCAGATTAGAGACTTAGGGAGATGGGACCAGTTTCTCACTCAAAGAGCTTGCCTGTTGTTTAAGCTGTATTGTACAGGGTTCTTCTATCTCTCCCTTTGTCAGCTGGATTCAAGAGACAAGCTGGGAATTGTGCAGGCTACAATTGGTCTCTTTCTACCATTCCTTTCTATGAAAGCCCTTCCTCTCCTCCCTTTGATGAGTTCCCAGATTCACACTGAATTTCCGTCATGGAGCTAGTCCTTGAGGTGTGCCCGGGGCATGGGAAAGGAGGGAGTGCTTTAGAGCACTTGGCTCCTACTTAAAGAATCAGAATAAGGACAGTCACTGGGATGGGCCTTAATCTGAGAGTCACAATAGTACTGTTGATCTCTGACAGAGAACATTGATGAAAAGGGATGTTCTATTACAGATTGCTCATGCTTGCTTGTTTGAGGGATTTGGAGATGAATATAACCCATTATTAACTAATGTCTTTACTTATATTTTCTCCACAGGATTTGGTTACATTCATTTTAACACTAGATAATAGGTAGCTTTGGTTTTCATTTAAGAAATTAATTTGATCTCCCAAACAAGAGTGGAAGCTTTCTGAGAAAAGGGACTTGGACTCTTAGTTTCTTCCTATTTCTTGAAGCATCTGTGTTACTAGTAATGCATTTAATGTTAGTGTCCTCAAGCCGCCCCAACACAAAGGAAAAGAAAGCATCATTAATTTTCTCCGTGATCAGTCATCAAAATGAGACGTTTAAATCTCATTGAGTAGCAGTTGTATTATGTAATTCTTTGATACTGACTCCACTACATCACAATTTATACTTAGCTGGTAAATGACAGGATGCCTTTTAACATTCAAAACTCTCTTAACCCTGAGGTATTCTGAAACAGAGAGCTTATGGTTTTAGGCTGTTGCTCACATGTTCCCAAGTTCATTTCTTGGATTGTGAAAAATGGAAATGAACCCAGTGGACTTTTATTCAGAACGCTTTGATGAAAAGACAGTCTCTTATATGTTCTGAGTTTTTTCTTGTTGGAATTCAAATTTTGACTTTTGCTTGGGCAGATTAGCTGAGATTCTTCACTTCCGCTGAACTTGAATGCCCTTAGAACAAATATTTCATCTGAATTTTGAGGACTTTAACATCTGATGCTTGTTTTGATGTTGTGAACTATTTTATAACCTAACAGCAGTACATCTATCTCAGGGCATTTGTGTTGGATTCCACATTAGAGAGAGACTTTGCTAAAGTCTATATCCTTGTTTCCTGCTTTGAACATCAGTAGAGCAGAAAGGGGGTGTTACATTATTATCTGAGATCTAAGAAAATGAAGAAAAATGGGTGTAAAAAGATACAGTATCAGGTGGTGATTTCGAGTAGCTCCCAAAGTTTTCTCACCCAGTAAAAACATGGAATGTGACATTTTCTGGTTATTTTGATGACCACCAAATGATCAGGATGAGAAATCATTCTTTGTTTCATCACTTGATGATAAGAGGGGGAAACAATCCTAGTGTAGAGGATATAGAGGGGCATGGGCTAAAGCATTGAGTACATTTCTCTGTTTGCCTGGCAAGAGCTTGTATTCCCGATCACACCTGCCTCACCATTAGGCCATGCCCTGGTGAAAAAGCTGGGGTGAGTGAATGGGCACAGGATGACCACTTGCCAGGGTAGATAGCTCTCCTTACCCTGGGCTAAATAAACAGTCCTGCCATTGTTTACTGGATCTGACCCCCCTCCCCACCCCCAGACATGCAGGGCCTTGCAGAATACCAATGAGGCTCCTGAGATCTCAGGAGGAAACAAGGCTTCATTGTTTAGGGAAGTGATGGAGGGCTGTGTCCAAGGCTTGACCCTTTGCTGGAGAGAGAGGGAACAGTAGGGTCACTGACCTCCCCTCCCCCACCTCAGGCTTTAGAGACCTTTACTAGAAGAGTCTAAGAGTCTGAGGGTGGAGAGGAGTTCAGAGGGCAGAGAATGAAAATGTTGGGGCTGTTTACTTCCAAGTGCTTTTCTTAACTTACTGGATACATGTAGTATCTTAACCTAATGATAAAAAGAAGATTCAATTTCTGGAATGTCTCCCCCAAGACAGTGGTGGGTTTCAGCTGTTTTGCTTTTCTTTGGCGTACTCACTCATGCATTGTACACACCTGTGCAAGTGTGCACGTGCACACATATCATAAGCCAGTAGTGCACATCCTCTCTTGCAAAGTTCACATTGAGTAAACTCAGCATCTCCTCACAGCGGCAGAGCTACAAATCGATTGTCTCTCATAGAGGGCTTGAGATTGGAGAAAGCAAAAGGAACCCAGTTCAGCTACATATTTTGGCTTGGGCTTCTGAGCCTTACCTCTTTGAAGTCCAGGATAGGCTGTCTTTTCAGTGAATGGTGGGTAATAGGGCTCACTTATTCTGTGATTCTGATAAAAGGGACAAATGCCTCCCTCCCAGCTTTTTCATGATACACATAATTTGATCTTTCAACATCTGTTGACATTATTCAACTTAGCTGTGGAAATAACAGCATTTTTAAGTATTTTTAATAAAAACTGAGCTCATATTAAGGGAATCAGGCAGTGAACTTTTATTTCCCCTGGTACCCTGTTGTAGATAATTGAACTTGGTGTGGAGAAATACATGAATATAAAAGTTCAAACTTTAGAAAATTATTTTCATTCTATAATGGGGTAAGAAGTTACAACATACTTATCACAGACTAGTACTTTCTCGGACACATGTCCTGATTGTATGTACACTTAATATAGGAATAGATGCATAAAAATCAACTGACCTATATATGTGTATATGCACACATTATTAAATATATGTATGTATGTATATTTTATATATCATACACATATGCATATATTGAATTTATACTATGTCTGCACACACTATCAATTAAAGACCTTAAATTTTCATTTTTCTACTTCTTGCATATCTGGTCAAGAGGCCAGAGGGAACCACACGTCCCTCTGTCTAGTCAGTCATCTGCTTTGCACTTGGTCAGTTTTATTTCATAGAACACCAGAACTTGGAACATAGCTACTTCCAGAGTCTGTGACTACTTTATGTACCTTTCTTGTTTCTCAGCAGCACTGGCAAGGGCTGAGAGCTCCCTGGTCTGGGATCTCAGGTATTCTTACCACCTTAAGACACCTGTGTTCCCAGGCCCTGTGTGTTCCCGTGGCCCAAGTTCCATGCCAGAAAGCTTCTGCGGCTATTACAGAAAGTCTCTTTGTGGCCTTACCAACAGAATCTCAGTGTGATCTTGAGGGTACAGGAACTGGACAAGCTGTAGTGGAGCAAACAGGCAAAGCATTGAAAAATAATCAAGCCTTTATTAAAATATATTTTTGTAGAATAGGGCATCAAATACTCCAAAACTGAAGTTACAGGCAGTTGTGAGCTGTCTGACATGGATTCTGTAGAAGAACACCAAGCACTCTTAACCACCAAGCCATCTTTCCAGCCCCAAGTCTGCAATCTTATTGTTATTATTTTCATTATTATTGTGTGCAAAAGCACCCTTCCCTGTCAGTTTCTTTCTTCTCTGGGTTACTCCCTTCTATCTAGACTAAGAAATATACATGTGTGGGAACATCCAGAAACATGTGCTTTTCATTCTGCCATCCACCTGGAATGCTCTTGCGGTTCAGATTGTGTCTGAAAATACTGACATCTATGGTTGGCACTCTTTCTTTTCAAATTCTAGATATATTTACTCTCAGGAGCCATTTACTTGGTTTCCTGGAATTGTTGGTGGAAAATATTACACCTATTTCATTCATTTTTCTTCAGTAAAGTGGGGATTCCAATCTGGCAGTTTGTACCTTTCTGTTTTCATATCCCATGGACAGTGCTGCACACATTTATTCCATAGTTGGTGACTAATGAAGCAAAGTCAACAGACTCCAAAAGAAAGAAAAGAGGGGTCAATCTTTTCACCTCCCTGGACTGTTACTTGAATTATTTGATTTCCTTTAAAAGCCCATATGGTCTGTGTTCTGAAGGTAAGGGTTCATTTTTAAGAATGAGACAAAATAATGATTCTGGGTCAGTCTCACATTCCAAAAGCTGAAAGCTGTAGGTTCACCTTTAGAACTCCCCAGATAAGCACTCTGTGTGCTTGGCAGCATGGGCTGCTCGGCCCAGGGCTGGGTGTGAGTGCATGACTTACCTGTTATGCATACCTGACTCCGCCTCTCCTTCTTCCCTAGGCTTGTTAGAGTGCTGTGCAAGATGTCTGGTGGGGGCCCCCTTTGCTCCCTGGTGGCCACTGGATTGTGTTTCTTTGGAGTGGCACTGTTCTGTGGATGTGGACATGAAGCTCTCACTGGTACAGAGAAGCTAATTGAGACCTATTTCTCCAAAAACTACCAGGACTATGAGTATCTCATTAATGTGTAAGTACTTTCTCACTCCCAGACCCATGTCTTTTCTTCCCCTCACCATGTCTTGGAGGTACCAAACTCATCAGCATCTTAGTAACTAGGAGGGCACCAATGTAGAGCCAGCTGGAATTCCTGACCATCCCTCTGCATACAGATTCTCCCACGCCATGTTGGAAGCTTGTAGTGAGGGGACAATGTCAGGTTCAGAAAAGAGGTCTGCCTCCTCTCGCTCCCCTGTGTTTGCTCACGCAGGGTCCTGTTTCTGCTCGGTATGTTTAGTGTTGCTGGAATCATCTCCACAGTGGCAGGTGGAGGTCCAGTGATGGGGCAGAGTGGAGCCCTGGTCTTGGTCGGACACTGTTTTCGTACACTCAGGCTTAGTGATGTCACCCCTACTCCTAGAGTTCTTCATGCATCTCCCAGCTGTCTAGCTTATCTCTCCTTTGCAGTAGCACTTGCGGGGGGGGGGGGGTCGGCGCAGAGGGGCAAACATGGTTCTCTAGGATGCAGGCTAACAAGGAATAGAAAAGGGGAAGAGAAGCACGCGCTTTTGCCCACCTACTCTCTGGCTCCATTTACTTCAACGAGGAAAAGGTGAAGGAACACAAGTGAAACCTAGTGGTTTCTCTCAAAAATGTCCAGCTACCTAGGCATCTACCTTACTAACGGACAAGAAGACCTGTGCCCTCTGAATACAGTTGTCTGGCCTTATCTGTCTGTCAATGCAGGATTCATGCTTTCCAGTATGTCATCTATGGAACTGCCTCTTTCTTCTTCCTTTATGGGGCCCTCCTGCTGGCTGAGGGCTTCTACACCACCGGCGCAGTCAGGCAGATCTTTGGCGACTACAAGACCACCATCTGCGGCAAGGGCCTGAGCGCAACGGTAACAGGGGGCCAGAAGGGGAGGGGTTCCAGAGGCCAACATCAAGCTCATTCTTTGGAGCGGGTGTGTCATTGTTTGGGAAAATGGCTAGGACATCCCGACAAGGTGATCATCCTCAGGATTTTGTGGCAATAACAAGGGGCGGGAGACAATTGGGCGTGAGTCTGTGGCCTCATCCCCACCCAAGGTTGGGTCCTCTCCAGAGGCCTGGCTTTTGAGTGAGGAAGCGATGGCTACAGCAGAACGATACGGTCAGGAAGAACGTGGTGCCTGGCCGGCTTAGCCTCACCTTTCAAAGGTTCCCTAGAAAATTTTATCTCAAACTGAAAAGCATGAATTTTGTAGGATGCTTTATACAATAAGACCATTTCTAACCAATCTGTTGGTATCCCTTTATTTTGTTCCTAGCAGGGACTACAAGAGTGGACCGGATATATAAAAATCTAAAATGCTAGACTTGGAATTGAGACTTAGACACGTAACCTGAAATGGAGGGTGAACCATAGAAATGAGAGAATTGACTTCAAGTCACAGTGTTCTGGGATCCTATACTATTGAGGGTCCCAGAGAGGGTTAGGCTCCATCAGGATATTTCACACTTACTTTTGGCCTAGCCATGTTTTAGAAAGACATGCCTTGTTTTTTTCAAGAGTTAAAGATCTTTTGGGGTCTGAACATGTGTGTGGTATGCTGATGACCTTTTGTGACCAGCAGCTAGCTTAGAATGGTTTTAGCTCTGAAATTTAAATCTCCCATTGGCATTGTTCCGTGACTAGGGAACAAAACTCTTGTGGCAAAGAATGTCTTGTAAGCTCAGCCTAAGGCACAAAATGGCACAACTTTCTTTCAGGACTTTTTTATTTTTACTTCTTTACACCTTCTCTGCCCTCCAAATTCCTTGAAGCCCCTCTAACCCAGGGATCCGCCTCACTCCAACTCCCACCCACTCCCCCTACCCATCGTTACACTCTGGGCCAGTTCTCTAAGAGACACTGCCAATGACACTTGGCAGAACTGCCCTGCTCACTAATTTCATTTGAGGGGGATGCCTGGAATCTGACTTTATTGGCACATGCCACGCCAGGATCTCCCAGTTTGTGTTTCAGGATCTGCAAGCTGGTGCTGATTTGTAACTACCCTATGTCGATTGTTTTAGTTTGTGGGCATCACCTATGCCCTGACTGTTGTGTGGCTCCTGGTGTTTGCCTGCTCTGCTGTGCCTGTGTACATTTACTTCAACACCTGGACCACCTGCCAGTCTATTGCCTTCCCTAGCAAGACTTCTGCCAGTATAGGCACTCTCTGCGCTGATGCCAGAATGTACGGTGAGTTGGATGGGGGACTTTAGATTCCCTGGCATCTATAGAAGTACTTGTTTTGTGCTCAGGTGAGGAGGATGGTGATTCTGGAAATCTCCTGAGATGATAAATAAATGCATCTTAGTTTATTAATCTCTTTCCACTGAAACTGAGGTTCCCCCACCCCAGAAAGGGAACATGGAAGCTTTGGCAGTGTTCATTCGTTCATTTGTTTCTTGGGTGTCCTTACTCCTTTTCTCTGACTGATTGCTGCTACCAACCCCCAAAGCAGCACATTACAATCCTATAAGATTTCAGCATTATCAATACCACCTTTGCCTTTATGGAAATTTTAGGGAGCAGGACCACACTTACTGTCGATATCAGGCTTACTGCCAGGATAGGGAAGTCAGAGAGGCTCTGGAGCAGGCCTTCTCATGGCCTCTAGCCCTGTGAAGTTCACTCTGGTTCATCTTTGCGCCTTAGGTGTTCTCCCATGGAATGCTTTCCCTGGCAAGGTTTGTGGCTCCAACCTTCTGTCCATCTGCAAAACAGCTGAGGTAAGTGAATGATTCAGGTTATTTTGAATTAGATTGGCTAATAACACAGAATTTCTGGCCTATAACAGAAGTTTCTCCACATGACCATAAATTTCAAGGATTATAATATCTCCTTGTTGAACTTTGAATAAGCAGATTTCCCATCTACAAAATAAAGGCTAAGTATGCCTGAGTCAGTGAGCATACAGATCAAAAGTAAAAGTACCTATTTTCCCAAGAACTGCATTAGAAATCTTATTTTCTCAGACTCCCCTTCATTAAAAGAAAAATATATGGCTTTAGTAAAATTTCCCAAATGAAAATCTTCATTTTGGTTAAAAACTTAACAAGAGAATGGGTCATGCATAAAGACATACATGGGCTCTATAAAATATGTTCAGTGTGGAACTCCTTAATCTCCATTGAGAGGTGAAATCAGTACAGTTGAAGAAGAGAAAATGCTCCATTGAGAACAGATATATGCCGTGGAGGCAAGGGAATGAGAGTAAATCCTGGGGAAGAAGTCAGAAAAACAACATCTTTGAAAAGGAAGTACTGACTTTAGGATGTGGGATCCTGGGCACAACTGTAGGAAATGCATTACTTCTGTGGGATCATTAATCTCGTTTCTGAGTCTTTGGGATGCTGCAGGTGTGAGATGCGCTGACAGACAGGCAAATGGGAGGTTGATGCTTAGGGAAGTGAAAACTTAGAGACACAAATTAACATACAGGCAAGATGTCAACCCGTCTAGAAAACTTCATTCACTATTATAGTGGATCACGCTTTTATTTTCTGATATAAGAAATAATTCTCTCACACTCATTTTCCCGCAGTTCCAAATGACCTTCCACCTGTTTATTGCTGCATTTGTGGGTGCTGCAGCCACACTGGTTTCCCTGGTAAGTTGTTTTAAAATAATATTAGAAAATAAGTGCTCCAGGGATAGCTTGAGTGCTCTTAGGCTGAGGCTAGAAGAGATACTCCTTCCAACTTTGAAACTGGAGGGAAGCTCTGAGAAGGGACAGCAAGGCGTGGGGCTCCATATTTCTACCACGGGTTGTCCAGACACTGGCAGAGGATGGAACCATCTCTCAAAGGATTTGCTGTATCCCGGGATCCTGTATAGTCTAAACATTTTCTGTAGTCGCTAGTGGATTTAATTACTCGGGGAAACTGGAAGGACTTCCTCACGTTAGAATTGTTATGACTTGCTGCAGTCCTGTGCCCCGGGTCCTGCAGGTAGTGTCGACTACAGTGCCAATGAAGTCTGCTCATTGCTAAGGCACTAAAGGGCAAGGTGATTTACCTCGAGTCTCTGAGGTAGCAGTTAGCTACAAGGAGGATCTCCCAGAATTCTCCTCAGTACCTGGAGGATTTCACTTCTAGTCTGTAAAATCAGTTGATGCATAAAACACAGGACGGCTCTGCTGCACGAAGTAGCTGTGTGTGGATAGCGAACACTATGGCTCCAAGTCCCTTAGACATGCTGATGTGACAGCATAGGCCCAGCTAGGGTCCTTAAGGAAAGGTCAGTGGTTAGCAGAACTGAGCTGTGGAATACGTCTTTATTGATTAGGTTATCTGCGAATGGGCTATTGTTTAAGTGTCTAATAGAAGACTTCTATTCACACATGTAGAAAAAGCCAAGGATATGGTTTTGAGGGGCTTTTTTTTCAGACCATATCCTTTGATTTAGTTGTGGTTTTACTTCCACTCCCTCCCTCGTTCACAAAAGGTTTTGAGTAGGGAGACTTCCTCTTTCTGCTCTCACTCGTCTTCTCTCTTCTGTTCCCCACAGCTCACCTTCATGATTGCTGCCACTTACAACTTCGCCGTCCTTAAACTCATGGGCCGAGGCACCAAGTTCTGAGCTCCTGTAGAAACTCCCCTGTCTAATTGCGAGGCTCTAACCACACAGCCTACAGTGTTGTGTCTCCTGTCTTAACTCTGCCTTTGCCACTGATTGGCCCTCTTCTTACTTGATGAGTATAACAAGAAAGGAGAGTCTTGCAGTGATTAATCTCTCTCTGGACCCTCCCTTTTCTGTACCTCTTTTGCTCATTTTGCTCCACAGCTGCTTCCTGCTAGAAGTGGAGAGCGCCTGAGAAGGCGCTTCTCCAGCTGCAAGTCACAGAGGAACGAAAGCTCTAATTCAATTTGGGAGCATCTCCTAAAGACCAAGATGTACTTCCTTCACAAAGGGCATTTCCGTTGAGAAAAACAAAGCGGAAAGAAAGATTCTCAGGGAGAGAGCAGGAATGCCCTTGGTCTCCTTGCCATCAATAGGAGCCAGCTATATTCTCCTTGATGCCCCAAACCAAGAACTCACCCTTATCTTCCTATTTCCATTGAAGACAGAAACAAAGGAAAGAATGCTAGCAAAGCAATAGCACTTGCCCAAATCTGCCTCCTGCAGCTGGGAGACAGGGGTCAAAGCAAGGATCTTTCACCCTTAGAAAGAGAGCTCCGACCCCAATGGCAGTGGACTATGTAAGCCCTAATTCAACCAACCTTACGGCATCAGGGAGCCCAGTGTAGACAAAGGGGCAAAGTCTGTCCTTACACCGCATTAGGAAGAGAAACAGTGCTGTCAGGCTCTGCTCACTCCCTTCTCCTTGATAACAGCTACCATGACAACCCTGTGGTTTCCAAGGAGCTGAGAACAGAAGGAAACTAGCTTTCATGAAATAAGACTGTGACCTAAAGAGCAGCAGTTGGCGGAGGCTAAAGGTGTAGCTTAAGATGGCTCTCGGCTAGATGCAAGATAGTTAACTCTTTGGATAGAATATCTTTTTTTTTTTCTGTCGGTTAATTGTGTCCTCTGGCCTCTGGCATATCTTCACAATGGTGCTCTTTTCCTGGGGTTTTAGCTATTCACTAGAGCAGGTGATTTGAAGATCTTGATTAGTCAGAAGGATTCATGTCGTACCTTTTCTAATTCTTTAGCTCTTGTTGGGAGTTAGATCAGAAAGATCTGGAAAATGAGTTTTGATTGCAGTTCTTTTTGAAAAAAGAAACCTGGACAGTAAGCATCACAAAAAAATATTTCAAATTGTCTAGTCCCATGAATTTATTTGGATTTTCCACAAGCATTATGCCATTTGTAGAAATCGGCTTGGTAAATTTGAATCTCAATTTGAATAAGCTGTCTAGTATTTTCTTTTCTAACAAATGACAAATGACTTTACTTGCTAATGGCATCTTGGCATTTTGAGAATTAGGCTTAGCGTAGAAGTTATTGTTTCTTGGTGTATATATAGGTCACATAATAGATTGTACTAGCTGCCAGCCGTTCATTTTTTAAGCTTCCATGGAGATCTGGAGACATGGAGAGGACAGACAGAAAGAACTAGAAACCTCAACTCCCAGATTTCAAGTATCTGGGATTTGTTAACTTTGGGATTAAAATTAAAAAAAAAAAAAACTCTGATCTATTTTCATTGAAGGAAAGGTTATTATAGATCTTTCATTACAGACTTCTGTCGTCCTTATTCCCCAAAGTGGTTTCTGCCATGTTGAAGGACTTGATAAGAAGACAGTGAAGACTTGTTCTTGGGCCAGTATGTAAGATAACTAGGGTATACAAGAGTGAGGAGAGGGGAAAGGATCTGTGAGAAACCAATCAAAATCAAGGAAAGTGGAATAATCTCTATCTTTTATTTTGTTTTGATTTAATAACATAACCAGCTGTTCCCTACAAACCTCACATGCATGCACACACACACGTACAAAGAGAGTTAATCAACTGCAAGTGTTTCCTTCAATTCTGATAGAGAATTTTGATTTTAACAACATAAAGAATAAACTTTTAGAAACTCATCTTACAAAATGTATTTTATAAAATTAAAGAAAATAAAATTAAGAATGTTCTCAATCAAACATGTTGTCCTTTGAATTGTTCTGTTTGACCGCGCTAACAAGGAACTTAGTTATAGCTAAGGTGCTCGTGTATACCTCAGGCCACATGGGTTGTTCTCACACTACTTCTATGAAAAATGTAAGTTACTTCTTTTTATACCTAAAGACTCTAAGAAATGGATGCAAACAGTTTGCCCAAAGAAACCCAATAAATGCTTGTCTGAACTTGAATATTGTTCTTTGAGACAGGGTTTCACTATGATCCATCTGTTCCTGTCCTGGAGCTCTCCGTGCAGACCAGGCTGGCCTTGAACTCATAGAGATCTGCCTGCCTTAAGTGCTAGGATTAAGGCGTGTACTACCCTACTGGACTGAATTCAGGTCTCTATAACAGTTCACTTTGTTTTGCTTGTTTGTTTAACGCTTTATTTTTCTCTTGGGTTTCAGAGTGTTCTGCTTATGCGGCGTCGGTAAGATTTACTTTCCCAGTGTCATTGTGGTGCCCCAACACCTGGTGTATTTAGTGTTAAATTATTTTTTATCTTTTCTCAAAATTGTTTAGCTATTCCAATAGAGATACCGTGGTGCTTCCCACATGAGTAACACATAGTTTCACTTGGGAACTACTAAGTGAAAGGTTTGAAGTTGAATGTTTATAGAGCTGGGGAGATTAATCTCCCCAGCTCTATAAACATTCAACTTCATTCAAGGACAATATCAATTAAATGCGCTGTAGCAGTTGAGAATTCAAACAAATTAATGGTACCCACTACCCTGGGGAGCTTAGGCCATAGCTCACCTAACATAACATGGACAGCACTCTGATGACCAGCCGGAAGAAACCTAACTTAAAATTCGCTGTAGGTTTGTCTTGTACATGTGGCCGATAAGGAACATGAGAAAGAAGACTTTGGCTGGAGGCAACATGTTAGTCATCCGTTAAGGAGCTCTATTCAAAAGTAGTTCAATTGCAGCCCCTGATTTCTGCTTCGGCACAATTAATATTCTCCAAGTAAGTCTGGTTGAATGAATTTAAGACAAAGAAAAAAAAAATACCTGATTTATTTTTAGACACTAGAAACCAGGGCACAGCACCACGTTTGGGAGAACCAACTGAGGGTGCTACGGAGTGAATGTATTTTTGCCTCAGAGGAGCAAAAGCCAGTTCCCAAGAAAGCTGTGTTTTCCATCTGTCCTTATTTAGTTCTGCCCTCTGGGATGGATCTATAGATGGAGTTTGCAGGCTCTCAGAAGCTGAGAGCATCTCTAGTTTATCAATTGAGCCCATTGTTCTTAGCTGCTCTCCCACACACCATAGACCTTCATTCTCTGAAATGAAAGAGCTCTCTTTGTACTCAGATTAGCTAAAAATTAAAATACAGCAGTATAAACAAGAAACATTTTCTTACAACACCGGGGTCAGTATTGAGTGCATTCTTACTGTGTGTGGAAGCCGCCCCTTTCTTTCAAAGAGACATGCTTTCATTCTCTATACATTCATTGAGAAAACAACTTTTTGCTAAACCCTGGGAAGTTCATGTTTGGGGGCTTTGTGGGTAGAAGGATCATACCGACATGGTCTTACACTCAAGGATCCCTCTCACCTTCATGCATAGCAGAAGGGTCTCCCAGAGTGGAGGAAGGGAGCATGAAAAATCAATCTGGTTGGTTGACTGCGATGAGTATCTGATTCCCGCCTTCACTATGTGGGAGAGGCAGTGGTTAAGGGTCATGACTTCATGTGGCTTCGGTTTTCTGGGACCTTGATAAAAAACAAAACTTCAATTTAGAGTTCTTGACAACTTGTGACTTGCTTTATGTCACCCTGCTTCTTGCCTTACATGTGACAGCATTTATGCATACACTGGCACAATGCCTGTTCTTCCTCCCCCTCACTTAGTCGTTTGAGGAGTCAGAGGGCACGTGGATCAGTATTTATGTGAACACGAGCTATTCAGCCTGCCTCTTTCTCTCAGTCAAGGCTAAATATAAGAGGCCAAGGAAGAAAGGGGTCACATAAAATAAGGTAGAAATGCCAGTACATGTGTAGAGAAAAGGTTTGGTATGATACTCAGCATTGAAAGCTGTTTAATAGCCTTGAACTGTTTTGCTCACCAACATGAAAAGTGTTCAGCTTAATTGACTGTGTATGTATTATGGGAAGCACTGTCTTGAAAACACCAGAAAAGAAAACCACAAAGTTGTAGTCTAAGGGCTGCAGTATTGAAAACAATCTAATCCATACATGAAGATTCACAGCTTGTTTGAGTCCTAATACATGAATGAACTCACATGCAGAACAACTTTTTAAAATGAAGGGCAATATGACTGGTCCACATTAACACAAAATGAGAATGTCACATAAGTATCATCCTATATCAAGAACTAATGACGGAAAAAAATAAAATAAAATAAAATAAAAAGAACTAATGACGGGGCTGGAGAGATGGCTCAGTGGTTAAGAGCATTGCCTGCTCCTCCAAAGGTCCTGAGTTCAATTTCCGGCAACCACATGGTGGCTCACAACCATCTGGAATGAGGTCTGGTGCCCTCTTCTGGCCTGCAGACATACACACAGACAGAATATTGTATACATAATAAATAAACAAATAAAAAAAAGAACTAATGAACAAACGTTGTCCTCTAACCTCCATAGGCATGCTGTGCCACCTGCATATACCCACATGCACACATTATTCACATAAGGATGTGAATAATTATATTCACATGTAATATGAAAATAATACAATTATTAATTTTTATAATATAAATTATTAGGGATGTAAAATGCAATATTGTAATGTAAAAATTGAAAAGAAAACAAAAAAGTTAAAAGGGGCTCAGAACAATAACTTGGCAAGTGAAAGCATTAAGTGAACAAGCCAAATGATCCCAGTTTGATCCCTGGTTCCCACATTAGGTGGAAGACGACAGACAACTGACCCCACGAAGTTGCCCTCTGACTTACCCGTGTGCACCATGTCACATAAGTGTGCATACTCTGACATACATCATGCGTGCATGTGTGCGCTCACATGCACGCACCACACACACACACTCACCACACACAATAATAGCAAAGTTTAAAACTAAGAATTGCCGGGTGGTGGTGGCGCACGCCTTTAATCCCAGCACTCAGGAAACAAAGGCAGGTGGATCTCTGTGAGTTTGAGGCCAGCCTGGTCTACAAGAGCGAGTTCTATGACAGGCTGCAAAGCTACAGAGAAACTGTCTCGAAAAAAAAAAATAAACAAAACAAAACAAAAAACCCAAAGAATTTCTACTTATAGGAAGACCACATTGCCAGATACAAGTGGCTCTGCTAATTATTGATAGAAAGGATCTTACATATTATTTTTTAAACAAGTTTGTCATTTCAGTGTTCTCTATTTCTTGCGTGAAAACATAAATCATTCTGTAGAGCAAGTCCCTCATGATCTTTTTCTTCATCTCGCTTACTTGGGAAAACACGAGTAATGATAAATCTCAAAGGAAGCTGTTGTACGGGTGCTTACTGAATTTGTGTGTATGTATGTGTGTTTGTTTTAATAGCTGCAGTGATTTTAGACAGTTTTGATATTTTTCTCAGCCTAAACAATTTTAGTCATACTCTGACATAGTAATATTTTGATGGTTATTTGTCTCCGTGTCAAAGAAAACACAAAGTAACTGTCTAAAGATAATTATAACCCAGTCCATAGGCAACCAGTTCCAAGTCTAAGAACTGTCCTTGACCAAGTACTCGGTAAGATTCCATGCACAGTGTATCACACCTTAGTAAGGCAGAAGCGAGTTCTTGCTGGACTGTGTGTTTGTTTCAGTTATTTCTACTCCCATACAGGGATGGTGCTCTTATCCCAGCTCAACCTACTAATAACTTCTCCCTAGAACAGAGAACAGCTATATCAGGCATTTGTCAGTGTGTTACTTTTCTCTGGCTGGGTTAAAACACCCTGACCAAGGCGACTTACAGAAGGGGAGGGGGGGAGGTATTTGGGGCTTAGGTTCCAGAGGTTTAAAGTTTGTAATGATGGGGATGGTGTGGCAATAGGCAGCGAGCATGGCAAGCGAAACAGAAAGCTGAGAGCTCAGGTCGTTGGCCACAAGCATGGAGCAGAGGAGTGGTCTGGAAGTAGAGTGAGGCCATAGAATCTCAAAGCTCCTTATTGGTGACCTTCTCAAGCAAGGCTGCGGCACCCACGGCTCCCCAAACAGCACGGCCAGCTGGAAACCAAATGTGCAAGTACCGGAGCCTGTGGGGGACATTACTCATCCAAACCACGGCAGTTATAAAGTAGAAAAGCAGTGACTGTAGCTCAGTTCCTTCCAAAACTACTGAGAGAAGCAAAGAACTGCTGTCGGCTCATTTTTCTCAGCAATCTTCAAACATCCTTTTAACTGTGCCACCCTACTAAACATGACTTTGCTGCTTTACAGTGTGCTGTGTGGATAAGCAGCTGAACAGAAACCAAATTTTAGCAATATATATACCAGGATGACTTACATATACATTAAAATTTTGGGTTTTCTGGGTGTAATCTTATAAGATGCATTGAAATAATATCTCACTAATCTTTCCGATAGTAACAGCATATCCATATACTGCTATACTAACATTTAATGTATACTATTTTAAAGTGTGAGATAAATGTGAAATTGTTTATTAAATATGTTCTCTTTGGTGGTTATAGCATGTACTCTTAAACATATTATTAGTATTTTAGTGAGGTCAGTATGACTGATTATGCTTCATTAACTATGAAACAATGCTTTATTATTCAAGAAGGCTGAGTTCATTTTAAACTGACATTTATCTTGAATGGTGTTATAGCTGAAAATGAAACCTTATAAAAATTCATGTATCTAAATAGATGCATGTTCTCAGAAAATTGTGTCACTGAATTTTCAGTCTTACAGCACATTTTAAAGATATTTTGCTGAACTTTGATTTATTAAATTTCATTCTCACCGGGCGGTGGTGGTGCATGCCTTTAACCCTAGCACCCAGGAGGCAGAGGCAG